AGAAAATTTGAAGAAAAATAAAAGCATCAACCACCATATCCAGACTTTAAAGTTTGAAATAGTAGACCTAAAATATAGTGAATGGTCTTAGGAATTCGGATGCAAATTTACCACAAAGCTTTATTGCCATCTCACAAAGGGAACCATCTTGTTGATAAGATCATAATCAGACTTCTTAATTACCCCCATGTCCAAAGCATAATCAGTGTAAGCTTTATACTGGATTGCTGGATTAGTCAGGTCATTACCAATAGCAAATCCCTGTTAACCACAATGTCATTGAAGCATGCAAAAGGAATTAATTCCAGACAAGTTGTAACTTTGAGAAATTAAAAAATAACATGAAGAAGCTTTCACATCGTATAATTAGTAACACACCTATAGGTTTATATGAATTCCTTCCTTAGCTTTGTTTCCTTGGTGGACTCGGCCAGCAAAAGCTGGAATGTAGTGCCCAGCATATGATTCTCCGGTTATATAAAAGTCATTCTTTTCAAACTCAGGGTGCTCCGCAAAGAATGCCTGGCATAATAAAAGAGAAAAACCCAGTCAAAACAACTTATTCATTTCTCCTCAAAACAATTTCATAATATTAACTATAAATAATTCAATAGACAAATAATTATCATAAAATCATCTTCCAAGATAAGCAGACACCTGTAAGAAATCATATAGGTCATTGCTAACTTCATCTTCGTTATGATGAATGTCTTTTAGGTCAGAACTGTAACTAAATCCAGTACCAATAGGTTGGTCCACATCTCTATGTTAGAGGACAAAATTCATCAGATTGAAAAGGGGATGCAACATCATCCTCCTTCCAATGATGTTGTCATTTCGACAGAGTTGAGGCTTTTGAGAAATGAACTTTGGAGACTTCTTAGAATCGAAGAGCAAATTTGGGTACAAAAGTCTAGAGAGAAGTGGGTCAAAGGTGGTGACCGTAATTCAAAGTTTTTTCACACTTGCGCTTCCAATAGGAGGAGGTTGAACTCTCTGTATGCTTTAAATGTTGATGGTGTCATCACCAAAGATCCAGGTCTTATCAAGTCTAGTGTCAGGGAGCATTTCTTTAAAGCTTTTAATTGTTGCTCAACAATGGAAGTGGAGGGTATTAACTTAGATTTCGCAAAAATTTCCCTGCAACAGAACCTATTGTTAGAGAAGGAGTTTACGGAAGATGAGATTTGGGGGACCATTAATTCTTGTGAAAGTAATAAAGCCCCTGGGCCAGATGGGTTGAACATGGGTTTTTTTAAGAACTTCTGGCTTAGCTTGAAAGGTGATATATTGAAATTCTTCCACAACTTCTATTTGGGTAAGGAGTGGGAGCATGGTATTAACCATTCCTTCTTAACTCTCATCCCGAAAGGTTCTAATGTTGGGAGTTTAGATGATTTCAGACCTATTTCCCTTGTAGGTGGGATGTATAAGATCCTATCTAAGTGCCTCGCGAGAAGATTGAGATGTTGCATCAATGATATAATCAGTGAGTCTCAATTTGCTTTCATTCCTAGGAGACAAATTTTGGATTGCTCTTTTATTGCTAATGAAGGAATTGATTTATGGAGGAAGAGAGGCTTGAAGGGTTGTGTATTTAAGGTAGACTTTAAAAAGGCTTATGATTCGGTAGATTGGGACATTTTATTTAAAGTTATGGCGAAGATGGGTTCGGTTCTAAATGGTGTAGTTGGATCCGGATGTGTGTGTCAACTGCTTCGGTGTCAGTTTTAGTTAACGGGGTTCCTACTGATGAATTTCCTATGGCTAGAGGCCTTCGGCAGGGTTGTTCCCTGTCCCCTCTGTTGTTTAACCTTGTTGGAGAACTGCTTAACCTGCTGCTTCGTAAAGCAGTATCTTCGGGCCTTTTCAGTGGTCTAGTGGTTGGTAAAGATGAGGCCTCAGTCAACTTATCTCATCTGCAATTTGCAGATGACCTAATCATTTTCTGTAGTGCTTCGAAGACTCAGATTGTTAATGTTAAGAGGTTCCTTCGGGTGTTTGAAATTATGACTGGTCTGGAACTGAATCTGTCTAAGAGCAGATTATTTGGGATTAATATTAATGAGGAAGAGCTTCTTCAGTGGCTAATGCTATTGGATGTCCTGTAGGACATTTTCCTGCGGAATATTTGGGGCTGCCTCTTGGTGCTAAGAGAAACTCTATGATGTTGTGGGATCCGGTAGTTCAAAAGTTTCATTCAAAGCTAGCCGGATGGAAGGCGAAGACTCTATCAATGGCAGGGAGGTTGGTATTACTGAAGGCAGTTTTGGGTTCCCTTCCTATCTATTTCATGTCCCTTTTCAAGATGCCTTCTTCGGTGAGTGTTAAGTTGAATTCCATCATGGCCAGATTCTTATGGGGAGGAGGAGTGGAGGCTAGGAAATCCATTGGGTCAATTGGACAAAAGTTTGCTCCGATAAAAGTGTTGGAGGTCTTGGTGCTATGAATATAAGTCTTATGAATAGAGCTCTCTTAGGGAGATGGTCTTGGAGGTTTGCTAACGATAAAGACTCAGTGTGGAAGAAGGTTATTTGCTGTAAATATAATTTGGATCCCAGTTTACTGCTGTTTAACGAGAAACTTCCTACACATGCTTCTTGGATTTGGAAATCGGTGGTCCTCAACCATTTCAAAAATGATCAGTTTGGAGCAAAGTTTCGTAGCAACCTTAAAGTCAGAGTGGGTGATGGAGGGAGCATTAGATTTTGGTTGGATAGTTGGGCACATGATTCCCCTCTTAAAGTGATTTTTTCCGAGGTTGTATGTGCTGTCTATAATAAGTATGGGAAGCTTTATGAGTTTGGGGAATTTCGCTCTTCAGTTTGGTCTTGGCATGTTAATTTGAGAAGGAATTTGAGTGAATGGGAATTGGTTCAGTACTCTGATTTAATGACTCTAATCCACAATATCCCTCTTTCTCAGGAGTTATCGGATGGGTTGGTCTGGTATGGCAATGGGGAAGGTGTCTATACTGTTAGTTCGAGTGTTAAGTCATGCAGGCCTGTTGGTATAACAGATCCCTTTTGGAAGAAGTATGTTTGGAGGGGATTGGTGCCTCCTAGAGTGGAGGTCTTCTTGTGGCAGGTCGTGCACCAGAGACTGCCAGTTAAAGTTGAGCTACAGAGGAAAGGAGTTTCAACTATTGTGGATGTTGCTTGCCCTTTTTGCGGAGAGGCGGATGAAACCTCAGCACATTTATTCTTTTCTTGCTCGGTGGTGTGGTCCTTATGGAATAAATTTTTGATTTTCTGGGGAGTTTCTTCAGTTTTTCAAGACAATGCTCACAGCTTTATGGTCGCTTGGGATGAATTGGTACCTAATTCGAAAATTTGGTCCTTCATTCCGGGGGTGGTTTTATGGACAATGTGGAAGGGTAGGAATGCAATTGTGTTCGAGGGGGGGAAGGTAGATCAGATTGATTTATTTTTTTGGCAAGGTGTAGACTGGCTGCTTGGTTCTTAACTTACTACAAGGTTGTATCTATCCCTAAGGACTCTCTTATTTGTGACCCTTCACTTGGGGATTGCTGCTCCTTATTAAGCTCTCCTATTATCAAAACTGTGTCTTGGTCTAATCCTCCAGAAGGATTTATTAAGCTGAATGTGGATGCGGCTGTGACTGCAGATTGGAGGCAGAGTGGTGTTGGGGGCATTCTTAGAGTTCATGATGGTTCGGTGGTGGGCTCTTTTCAAGAGGCTGCTGGTCCAGGTCCTCCTGTTTTGTTAGAACTCAAGGCAATTATGAAAGGGTTATCTTTCTTTGACTCGTTTCAGCAGCGGTTTAAGGAAAGGTTAATTGTTGAATCAGACAGTAAATTAGCAGTGGATTGGGTCAGGAACATTGACCGTTGTCCCTATGTTTACTTAGACATTGTGACAGCTATTGTTGGCAAGGTTAGTGGACTGAATAGTAGTATTAGATGGGTTGCTAGGTCAGCCAATGTTGAGGCTGATAGTTTAGCTAAGGCTGGTATTGGATAGATCTCTGTTTTGTTTAGTTGGGTTTCTATTAGGTTTTGGGTTGCTTATTTGTATGATAGATTGTATGGTTGTTTTAAGTCTTTGTAACTTGTGGTTATCAATGAATTATTGAGGCACTCTTTTCCTCCTTCTGCTGATTAAGGAGCACCGTGTGATCCTTTAATCATGAAGGGGGTTTTTAAAGAGGCCTACCTTTCCTATCAAAAAAAAAATCATTGATTGTGCAGATACCAAATACTAAAGAAGGGAAAATAAGAAGAAAAATACCTTGTCCAATCAAGAGACATGTTATAAGCAATGGTGAAGGGGCCATTTTCATAAAACACAGCCAATTCGCTACTACATCCTGGCCCTCCAGTCAACCAGATAACAACAGGGTCCTTTTTTCTATTGCGTGATTCAAAGAAGTAGAACATTCTGCCAAAAACAGCAATAAATTAACCCACTACAAAGGTAATTGATTAATGATATGATTGGGACGATGAATTTGAAGATTTGGATTTCGACTTTCAATATGACTACATATTTGAAAGGTATAAAAAACTTGAACTTCACATTGCCAAATATATCTATTAAGAATTTCAAATTCACCACTAATAAGCACCCAAAAACTCATTAATTTGAGAAACAATCATGGATGTTATGTTTATATTTGTTTTGCCACACAACTTACATACACTATTTTTAAAATCCAAAACCACTGTGATTGTGCAATTCAACGCTTTTTTTTTCTCTGAATGGTACGAGATGAATACAAGTAGATTTGTTCAAAATTTTCTTAAACTAAAACTATTCAGAAAACATACACATCCTACCGAAGTAGTTGCTCGAACCTGAGTCCTCTACGACTGAGGCCACTCAATAGGTTCAACAATTCAACGGATTTTAACTACTAAATCCCTTCAGTCATAATAAAACAGCCGATTAATCTCATCGTTAACTAAATAAGATACAGAAATAACTAGAACTCAATGGCTTTCAAACCCCAGCTCAAATGAAACACAGAAACTGAGAAAATGTCCTAATTTAGAGAAATTGCACTTCACTTTTTTTTACCTGGCATCATGAGAATTAGCAAGTTTGTAATACCCAGCGTGGTGACCCAAATCCTCAACGGGGACCCCAGCAGGAACTTCCAAATTTGGGAACATGAACCGCTTCTCGACCAGTTTCGGCCCCTCCTGCAAGGGAACCCGGTCTTGATCAACGATGTTGATTTCCTCTTTAGGAAACAAATTCAACCCCCTTATCAACTCCTTCGCATGCACTGAAGGGAAACTAGATCCGGCGAGACGTATGTTGTCTAGGACGGAGGAATCAGCAGCGGATAACGAAATGAGACAAAGAAGTGATAAGGAAAATGCACATAAAAGTTTCGGTTTCGCCATTTTTTCTGGCTTCCTTTTTTCCCCGGGATGCAGAAGTGAATGAAAGTCGAAGAGAAATGAACATATATAGCATAAAGAGAGGTTAACTGACAATCTGACGTGGCGGCTGACGGGAAACGGTAGTTTTCACTTTTTATTATTAAATTATCATATTAGATAATATCTTATTTTATATATTAATATATTATTAATAATAATTGATTTAATACAAAAATAAGGGCTATAAGTGTACAAAGAAGGGGTGTTTAAATTGAGTACTCGGGTTTTTTGGTACCAAATCTTCGGGTAGTTCATTGGACGGTCCGTATCCCGACTTGAATATTATAAGTACTCGAAAATCGGGTAGTTCATTGGACAGTCCGTGTCTTGACTTAGATGTTGTAAGTACTTGAAAATCGAGTACTCAAATTTTACGAGTACCTATAATTCGAATAATCGGATACAAGATTTTTTTATAATTTTTAAATTATTAATTAAAAAAATATACTGCTTATATTATTCAATAAAATATTATATTAATTATTAAACATATAATTGTTGGGTGTGTGGGGTTTTTTTTTAAATTTTATTAGTTTAATTTAATATATAAAATAATTAATAATTAAATATGTAATATTATTATATATATAAAAAATAAATGTAACAGGGTACTCAGGTAATTAGGACCCGAAAAAAATGTAATTTTGTGATCCAGACCTGACCAGGAAAATATCGGGCTAGATAATTTGTTTTAGATAATTACTCGATTATTTTAGTTCGGGTCGTCAGATCAACGGGCCGGCTCAATTGGATTAAGTATTTTTTAACACCCCTGATACAAAGTAAGTCTCGAAAAACATTTTTGTGCCTAAAAAAATTCCCTAAAAAATTTAAGTGTCTACTATTATATTTTTTTATCATAAAAATATAATTATTAAAAAACAAAAATAAAAATAAAAAATAATTTATTTATAAAAAACCAATTTTTACTGAAATTATAAAAAACATCTAAAAAACTAAAATTTCTCATTTCAACCAATTACCAATCATCGTCAATCATCTCCGGTTGTCACTGTCGAACAATTTCATTTTGATTAGAATTGTACGGTGGTTCAAATGGTGGTTGTAGTGTAGCTTATGGACTTCGAGATCAGTCGAAATCAACAAAAAACAATAGTTGTGGTTTAAAATTCAACGAACATTTGAACGATTCTCTACGACAAACGGTGATAGATTACGACGAAAGACCAATAAAGGTTTGATCCAGGGTCGACGTCGGTGCTGATGACGGTGGCGATGATGATCACGAATTGCCAGCGACTATGGAAATGGGTAGGGTTGTTCATTCGGTTAATTCGGTGGTCGAACCGACCGAACTACCATTAACTGAATTAACCGAACTTTTTTTTCTTTAACCGTTAATCGAACTGAACTTTTTTATGAAAGTATTAACCGAACCTAATAAATTTCGGTTAATTCAGTTAATTTTCGAATTAACCGAAATTTTTTAGAATTTTTGAATTTAATATTTTTTTTAATTAAAAACAGTTTATAATATCAAATTAATTTGATTCAAACATTATATTAAAATAGGATATTTGTATATATCAATTTAGTTAAAAAAACCAACAATATTACAGTTCTACAAAATAAATCAGAACTAAGTGCAGAACTGGAAGCATAATTTAGTCTGATGCAAACAGTTTACAATATTGCAGTTCTACAAAATAAATTAGAACTAAGTTGTTGGCTGCTGCTACCATTCTAACCAAGATGTTCTCTATCAAGTGCATAACATATTACCTGCATAGTGCACAACATAGAAATAAAGATATGCAAAATTCAGTTCGAACCATCAAAAACAATAAAAACAATAAAAGATATAAATATCAAATATATCTATTAAGTATCAACCAATGCTAAAATTATAAGTGCTAAGCTAACTCAATCTAATATAATACAATCTTATTCAGTAAACATCATCACTTCAAGCTAATGAATTTAAAAGGAATGTAAGGGACGAAATTACCACACAAAAACAGTATTCAAAATACTCAATTTGCACCAATATATATAATCTCCAAAGTACATTGCAATAATGCAATTTACAATTAATGCATACCCTTCAACTCACTCACAGTGCTGTCAGTGCAGAATCCTATGAGCTCATGAATTGAGGGTAGGTTGTAATGCATTCCAAGATAAATCTAAAAGTTAAAATGATTAAATCAATTAATGTTGTGTCAATTCTCCTAAAAATAAATTCACTTATTAAATTAAAATTAATAAATAAAGAATCAACATACCATTATCAATCTTGTCAAGCTCTTGAATTTGTTCTTCAAACTTCTTGATCTCCTCTTCGGTTGATGACTTTTTAATATAATCTTGAGTACACACAAGAGCTTGTACCATTTTAGAAGTTAAAGAACTCCAAAATTGATCAAGCACACGTCCACCAGTACAAAATACAGACTCTGAAGCGACGGTAGAAAGCGATATAGCTAATACATCTTTGGTCATATTTGACAAAACTGGAAATCTAGGACTATTGACTTTCCACCATGACAGGATATCAAATTCATCATCATAATTCTCAAAAACCTCCCCTAGATATTTATCTAATTCAGATGTTTGATCTTCACCACCACTTTCAATCACACGCTTTTTATACAAATCTTTCATGCGTCTTTTCACTTTTTGTTGTGGTTCACTTATAGAAATTCTCACATTTAAATGGTTGTCATCACTAGAGACTCGAGGCTTATACTCATCATATAATTCATTCAAAGTCTCTTTCAGCTTTTACATCACTTCAAAACTTTTTTCCGAATCATACATCTCACTAAGTGCAAATTCAAGATAACTTAATTTCTGCCTAGGATCTAACACACAGCCAACAAAAACAAGCATATTCATCTTCTCAATATCACCCCAATATTTCTCAAATTTATCTTTCATCCTCATGGCCATAACACTAAATTCAACATCAGTACTTAATTGAGCATCCCTTAAAAATATGCAAATTTCATTAAGTTCATCAAAAAAATTGTTAGATGTAACATATTAAGTACCTGAAACTCGCAAAGTGACTTCATAAAAATGTTCTAAGAAATCCCTCAAGTTTCTAACACAAGTCCAATCATTTATAGTTGGCCAACCCTCTCCTAACTCAAGTTCAGTCCTAAAATTTGTATCTTGCTCCTTAAAACTCTCAAAAGCTCTCTCAAATTTTCAGCAATGTCTAACATTCAATAGGTAGAGTTCCACCTAGTACAAACATCAAGACATAACATTTTTTTTCTCCCAATTTTTTCCATCTCAACACACTCCATGAACTTTTTCAATCTAGCTGGAGATTGTCTCGCATATTTCACAGCCCCCTAACACGTGCAACAGATTTGTTCATTTCCTTTAAACCTTCAACAACAATCAAATTCACAATATGTGCAATACATCTTATATGAAGATATTTACCATTTGCAATGCAACCCCATTGAGGACTAAATCTCTTTCTTAAATAACCAATAGCAACATCATTCAAAGTTGCATTGTCAACGGTGGCAGTGAACAACTTATCAATCCCCCAATCTAATAAACATTTTTCAATCATCAGCCAATTGCATCTCCCTTATGACTAGAAATTGGATAAAAACTTATGATTTTCTTATTAAATTTTCAATCGTTATCAATAAAGTGCACAGTGAGACACATATAATTAACTCTTTGCATAGAGGTCCATGTATCAGTAGTTAAACAAACTCTAGAACATGAACTTCTTAAATATTGTTTCAACTTAGTCATTTCATCCAAGTACAATTGATAAATATCTCTAGTTATAGTCAATCTTGAAGGAATATGAAAATTGGGGCATCCTACAGACATAAATTTTATAAATCATTCACTCTCAACAAACTTGAAAGGCAATTCATCAGTCACAATCATTTGGGCTAAAACCTTTCTAGTTATTTCTTGATCAAATTTCCAAGTTGTGAGATGTCCTACTTCTCCTCGAATATCCTTACTAGGTAACACTAAATTGCTTTGATTAGTGTCAATGTTGTTAGGATTTTTCTTACACTGTTTCATGTGATATATTAATGACCCAGTTTCATTTTTTTCTCATCACAACAAAATTCTTTCTCACAATGATTGCATCTACCCTTACTTTCACCCTCACTATTTAAAAACTTAGTAAAGTGAGTCGATACTTCTGACCTTAAAGGAATAACTTTACGTTTACTTACAGTCCCTCTTGTGTTGTTGATTTTACTTGAAGCTTCAGTCGTTGAATTTGATAAAGGAGGTGAAACACTTCCCTCAGCAGATGCTGTCATATTGGATATTTACAGCAAAATATGAGAAGTAAAGAAAAGTAAGAAATAATCACATTAAGATTCATATTGAGTGAATGTAAAAGGACATACAAAAACAGTTTATGATCATGTAAAATTCAAATGGTAGCAGCATCAACCATAACAGATGTAATCTAATATACATAAAGCAAAAATTTTAGATAGCAATATTTAACAATAACATTGATCCGCCCAGACGAAGTGGGAATCAGATTTCGTTTTCCCTGTTCCGAATTAATTAACTATGTATAATAAGATCTATTTTTTTTTAAAGAACAAACTGCAAGCTGTTCTGAAATCATATTACAAGACAGAAAAGCTATACAAAATCGTTTCTTGTTTCTCCATAGTAACACATTCGACCAAAAAAATGGTCTCGATTGCAGCTATTTGACAGATTTCTCAATTGCATTGTAGTTATAACTTTTAAAAGAAAATAATACAAAAGAAATGAAAGCGAGAGCAAGACAATAATAGTTCAGGCTCGAAACATCCGGGAAACTATCTCCATTGTATATGACCATTTCTGATATTGCATCCCAATTCGTAACAGGTTATTTTCAAGAGTGGAAATTGAAATAGGCTTAAAAAATTTCCTTTTTTTACCCAAATAAGCAAAAACCCCACATTTATTCACGTTTCTCTCTCTTTCCATTGCTTTATCTTTTTTATTTTCCCTTT